GGACCGGATCCGAGTGGCCCAATCCCAAGCCTGGAAGGGTTTCCAAGGGGCTCTAAGTGTGCATTCTGGCCTCCACGCCTGTCCCTGTGTGCTCAGCCCTCAGTGTTTGTGCCCCCCCTGCAGAGCAATCACTCTGCAGCGAGGGCAAAGGCTCCTCACATCTGGCCCCAGCTCCCTCCAGCCTCAGGTGTGCCCAGCATCCCTTCCTCCACGTGATGGCCCCTAGCTTTCCTAGGGCAGGTCCGTGGACTCCTTAAGGCTTTCTCTCACAAGATGAGGAATGGGCCCATCTCAAGAGCTTAAATGTCCTGTTCCAGCCTTTTCACTGTTTCCAGTAAAGCAGGGGCTTGTTCTAAAGTTGTTTATTTTTTGGCTGATTATTATATCAGCTTCTGGGTTCTCTCAAATGCAAGAGTGAGGGAAAAATCTTTCCTTTTTTCCTTTTTTGAGATGGAGTCTCTCTGTGTTGCCCAGGCTGGAGTGCAGTGGCATGATCTTGGCTCACTGCAAGCTCTGCCTCCTGGATTCACGCCATTCTTCTGCCTCAGCCTCCAGAGTAGCTGGGACTACAGGCGCCTGCCACCACACTGGGCTAATTTTTTTGTATTTTTAGTAGAGACTGGGTTTCACCATGTTAGCCAGGATGGTCTCGATCTCCTGGCCTTGTGATCTGCCCACCTCAGCCTCCCAAAGTGCTGGGATTACAGGCGTGAGCCACCACGCCCGGCTCCTTTTTTCTTTATCTATCCTCTACTATGCTTCAGTTTCCCTGGAAGGTACAAAGAGCCCCCTTTTTACAGAGGAAGGAAACTTAGGCTCAGAGATGGTCAGTGACCTGCCTAGAGAAGTGCAGAAGCAGGAGTGGAGCAGAGCCCAGGCCTGGCGGCCTCCATGGCACGGAGTAAGATGGGCCCCACCGCCTCTCTCCTCCACGCTTATCTTTGTTTTCCTCCTTCCTGGCTTCTGCTCTGCTCCAGCCTTGCTAGTGAGTGACTCCTGGGGACCTCCTTCTTTGCCGTCTGTCCTAAATAAGGCTGCCCCTCTGTCTGCACCTCTCCCTCCTACGTAAGAAGGCTTGGCCCCTCCTCTGCTGCCTGGCTGCTTTCAACATCTCACCCTACCTCCCCATTGTCTGTGATTTCTCTGCACTCCGCCCAGGCCTCAGCTTTCCCCACTCCCCTGGGATTTCCCTGTCCCACGTCCCTGGTGGAGTCCCTCAGGGCTGGGTGGCTTGTCATTGCATGTCTCTCTTCACTCTTTTCTTGGTCCCATCCCACAGAAAGCTCTCAAAACATCACCACACCTGCTCCTGCCTATGCCCCACAGCGAGCCCCTGGCAGCCTCATCTCAACGATCAGTTCTGGGTTGTGTGTGTGAGTCCTTGGGTGGGGGTGTTTTGGTACTCTGTAATCCAGCACCGCTGGGGTAACTCTCAAGTATAAGGGGACATGTGGGATGCTGGGAGGGCATCAAAAGACACAGGGGACTCAGTCTTGCTTTCAAAAGGCTTACAGAGCGATTGAAGGGCCAGGAAACACACAGCACATGCATGAAAATGAGCCAAGCAATGCATCAATATGTACTGAGTCTGGCAGCAGCCGAGCTTGGAAAAAGAGACCAACAGAGCACTTGCCTGATGTGGATTGAGGAAAACTTCCTGTAGGAGATGGCATTTACCTGCAAGGCCTGATGGACCAAAAACAGATTCAGGACCAAATGTTCAGGAATTGAGATCTTTGGTGGCCCAGAGCTTGACTAAGGGTAGGGTTTTGTGGCAAGTTGCCGAGGCAATCAGAAGACTTTTCAGAGAAGAGAAGAGTAAAACTGGGCTTGGAAGACAGAGAGGAACAGGGATGGAAAGGGAAGAAGAGGATTGAACAGTCTGGGCAAAGCATGAGAGTGAAGTGGTCAAGGCGTGAGGCTGGGGGAATGGGTGAGCAGGGCAAGATGTAGGAGGTGCGGGTGGTGTGAGCAGGCCGATGACAGAAGGAGCCCCTGCGATGCAGCGGGCTTGGACTCTGGAGTGAGGCAAGCGTGGCTTGTCAGTTACCTGCTGGATGACCTTGGGCACATATTTCAACCTCTGTAAACCTAAGATGCCTTTTCTTTAAAATGGGGCTAAAAGCTCCCACCACACAGACTTTGTGTGGTATTTAAATGCAATGTGGTTCCTAACAACATAGTTGCTGCCTGTAGATGTTAGTGTCTCTTTCTCTCTCATTTTATCTTTATTTCATAAATGCACAGTACATAAGTAAGCCAGGAGAGAGTGTGTGGCTCACACCTTTCCTGCATGTGGTTTTTCATATCCCACACACCCACCCTGATCCTGGGGACATCACAGGAGATGACGGGCCTGGTCTGGCAGCACTGCAGCTCCAGCTCTGTTGGGCTGCCTTGAAAATGGGCAGTGGAAAAAGAATAGGAGTTTGATTCAGCGATGGGAAGAGTCTCAGGAATTGACTTATGACTTAGACTGTTTTTTTTTTTTTTTTTTTTTTTACTTTTTTGGGCCTGTGCTCTCACTTCTCTGTGAGGCAGGTTAGATGGTGTGACCTTTGCGGCTCCACGGATGGGAGCATTCTGTAATTCTCTGTGTACTCGTTTACAGGGCCCAGTTCCACTTGCCTGTCTTTGAGCCTCTTCCCAGTTTAGGAGGAATATCACTTGAATTGAAATCAGAAAACCCAGGTTCTGGTCCCAGATGTGTCTTTTCCTAGCTGGAGTGTCTAGAGGAAGCCACTTAGTCTCTGAGCATCAGTTTTCTGTTTCATGAAATGGGTTGAGAACAGCTAGACTGCCCAGTTCTCAGGGCTCTTGTGGGATGCTCTTTGTGTATGTGTTTGGTGGGGTGAGCTGTGCAAATGTAAGCTATGGTGAGGTTTACGGCACTTATTCCTTCTAGTCCTGCATTTCTCCCTTCTCACAGGAGCACCTGGAGTACATTTTGCAGCTAAGTTGTCTACCAATTCCCTGACCATCCAAACCTTTGATTTTTCTGTGTGTCAGTTTCTTAGTTCAAAGATGGGAGTGTGGATCACTGCCAGGATCTGTTTTTGGCTGGCACACACATGCACACAAACATGTGTACACACACATACTCACACCCCTCCAAAATGCTAGAAGGAATCGATGGCGCAGAACAATATGTCTCATGAGGGAGTATGCTGAACTAAAATAATTTTGATTGCCTGTCAGAAAATGATTAGGCAATAGTCATTACCATGTCAAGACTGTCCCAGTCTCCATTGTTCCTAACAAGACCTGAATTACTCATTCCCTAAAGAGATGGTTGGTTTAGCAGCCGAAGGATTTTAGTGCTAGGACAGAGTCCCAGATAGCAATGCCATGGAGATGGCGAGGGAGCGGGGTAGCGGGGGAGTGGTGAGGGGCACTTTCTGGAGGAGGGTATAAGGCAAAAACTGTGGGAGGAGAAGAGGGACAAGGCTCAATGTGAAGAGTGCAATGGAGAGGACAAACACAGCCAGCCCGATTCAGAGTCACAGAGCAATGGGATCAGATGATCTTCACAGACTCTCTTTCTCCCATAGATCTTGCACACCATAGTGGAGACTTCCCACGTACATCTATGGTTTGCCACTTACAGAATTGCTTGGAGCCAGCTGAAGTTAGAGCTGGTTTCTTCCCTTTGAGTCTTCAATTCTGTGTTTATGTGCAGGCCTGGAGACCACGCCAGGCTTCTAAGAAGTCTTCAAATGAAAGTCTGCGTGGGGTACTGGTCTGTCCAGATCTCAGTGCCACTATTATCCACTGACATTGATCAAGTGCTGCTCTCCAGGAAGGCCCCTGAGGTTTCCTGGTCCATTGCAATGCATGCCGGGGGCTCTTGCACTTGGGTGGAAGTAAAATCTCCTCACTAAACTCTGCACCACCAAAATCCCCTTCTCAGAATGAATTGAAGAAACATTTTCCAAGTGCTTGCATGTGCGAGGAGCCAAGGATTCAGAGTGATAAAACAGGCCTTTTGCCCTCAGAACTCTCTGTGGTGGGGTACTTCCTGTGCTGTCTGGCTTTACACACAGCAGGCAGAATGACTTGAATTCGGCTGCTGTGCTGTCGTACAACATGCTGTTTAGGATCTTACACACGATAGCTAGGTATCCTTGCTTCAAATCCCAGCCACCCCACTTACCAACTGTGTAGACTTGGTCAGGTTGTTCAACCCCGTGTCTCAGTTTTCTCATTCTACAAATGGGGAGAAAAATACCATCTATCTCAAAGTTGTGAAAATTAAGCAAGTTAATACATATGTGCTACGTAGAACAGTGCCTGGTACATGGTCAGTTTTTGATACTGTTAGGTGTTATCATTATCATTATTATTACCTCCAGAAACAATTTAAACTTCTCAGATCAGGCTCTCCAGATAGCTCTCATTGTCCTCCTTTCCAAATCTGCATTTATTTCTCCCTCTTTACAGTCCAGTGTGAGGCTTAAATCACCCGTCAAGCCTCACCTCTACCCCTGTGCTTTACAAAATGTCCTAGAGCTTCTGTCTACTCATCTCACTGCTCTGTGGGCTTTTTCACTCATGGGTGTTTGCATGCTATCCGTTGCCACCTGTTTTCTGTTGCTGGTGTCTGTCTCCTGCTCCATCTTTGAAGAAAAGGAACAAGAAAAGTAACAACTGAGAAACAGAGACAAAAAATTGTCTCTCCCTTCTGGTTCCTCCAGACCACCCACTCATCCATCTTGTTCAATGACAGCTTCTCTTCCTTTAATTAATCAACATGGTATATTTGTAAAGATCTTTATATTTATAAAAGATCTTTAAATTTTTTAGTTATTAAAGCCCTTACTCTTTGTCAGGGTGTAACTGAGTGAGCTCTGGAGTTTGGAAGGCAGATCTTAGAAGTGGGCCAGAGAGCTCCTTCTGAGATCCAAGCATAGGGAATTGCACCTGCTGTGCATGGTAAGACAGTGTGCTTGGTAGCTCACAAGGGCAAGGTGAGAATGGAAACCTTCATACCTTTGTGATGGGGGTTATGAAATCCTACCAAGAAACACCAGGTATCAGATGTGGGGTCCTGTTTTCCCAAAGCCACAAATGCTTGAAGGAAGATCTTGTGTGATAAAATAATTACCACATGAACCAATTTTGCATGCACAGCAATTCTGAGAGCCCATCCTGGGAGCTAGGTGTGTAGTGTTTATCGTATTGTTGAGGCTCGTAAAAATCTTGTATGGCTGCAGGCAAGCCAAACCCTTGAGAGGCACTGCATCTCCGCTGACTCTGGAGGACCAAGCCCAATTGCTTCCCTGTATATAAGGGGAAGTGTCTATGCTTGGGGTAGAGGAGTGTTTAGCTCCTTCCCTTACTCTACCTTGCTCCTACTTTTCTCTAAGTCAACATGAGTCGGCAGTTTAGTTCCAGGTCTGGGTACCGAAGTGGAGGGGGCTTCAGCTCCGGCTCTGCTGGGATAGTCAACTACCAGCGCAGGACCACCAGCAGCTCCACACGCCGCAGTGGAGGAGGTGGTGGGAGATTTTCAAGCTGTGGTGGTGGTGGTGGTGGTAGCTTTGGTGCTGGTGGTGGATTTGGAAGTCGGAGTCTTGTTAACCTTGGTGGCAGTAAAAGCATCTCCATAAGTGTGGCTAGAGGAGGTGGACGTAGTGGCTTTGGCGGTGGTTATGGTGGTGGTGGCTTTGGTGGCGGTGGCTTTGGTGGTGGTGGTTTTGGTGGTGGTGGCTTTGGTGGTGGTGGCATTGGGGGTGGTGGCTTTGGTGGTTTTGGCAGTGGTGGTGGTGGTTTTGGTGGAGGTGGCTTTGGGGGTGGTGGATATGGGGGTGGTTATGGGCCTGTCTGCCCCCCTGGTGGCATACAAGAAGTCACTATCAACCAGAGCCTTCTTCAGCCCCTCAATGTGGAGATTGACCCTGAGATCCAAAAAGTGAAGTCTCGAGAAAGGGAGCAAATCAAGTCACTCAACAACCAATTTGCCTCCTTCATTGACAAGGTGAGTTTCTCTGCTCAGTGCACTGGTAGGGCTGCTGCTGGTCCACTTGGGACTGGTGCAGTCAAAATACATGTAGGTTTGAACCTCAAGTTTCCATGTTTACATGGTTAAAAGGATGTTTTGTGGAATGGTCTCCTGGGAGATATGTTAGAAGCATGCTTGTGAATGGTGCTAATGACTCTCTCTTGGACAAAGGGTTCTGTGGTCTACCTAAAGATGGATCAGTGTGACATTAACATTTAAGTGTTTTTTATTCAGCTCTTGAGCTGAATTGGGACTCATATCTGTTGAATGAAGATAATAGAAATGGGGCTAACTGAACTTTCCAGGGTGCAAGTGAGAACCCTGGAAAGGTCTTGCTAACCATAGAAAGGGAGCTGAGTGTGAACATAGTATAGAGTATTATTGTAGCAGAAAATATGTAGTAAGTCAGTGCCAAACATCTTTTGCTGTCAGAGGGGAGCTCTGCCTTGTAATAATTTTACATTGGTACTGGATGAGGCTAGAGCTTTTTTACACTAATATCTCCAAAAATCAGTTCTAAAAAAACCCAGATAAACCATTTTTTAACTTTTTGCTTAATCATTAATAGTGCCAATCCAAGCTTATCCACAACAAATTTCAAATCCAATTTTGAATTTTCCTGATATGCTTTTGAAATGTGTGTGTGTCCTGGGGATGTAAACCAATTTTTATGGTAATATACCTCACAAAATTTTGGAAGGCAAATCTCTTAAATACCATGCACCTATTTCGAAACATAATTGCAATAATTCTGTACGTACTTTGCTATTGGTATTTGTTTAGTTACTCCCTTCCAAGCCCTCTCTGAATTAACGAGTTGGGTTTTGTTATGCAGATGATGCTAACTTGATCATCTTCTTCCTATTTATCTGTCATGGTCAGAAGATAGGAACTGAAGTTCTTTTCCAAATGAGGCCTCCATGGCTATGGGACCCCTTTTCTGTATCAGGAGTAATGGGGTCTTGTGTTTTTAGGTGAGGTTCCTGGAGCAGCAGAACCAGGTACTGCAAACAAAATGGGAGCTGCTGCAGCAGGTAGATACCTCCACTAGAACCCATAATTTAGAGCCCTACTTTGAGTCATTCATCAACAATCTCAGAAGGAGAGTGGACCAACTGAAGAGCGATCAATCTCGGTTGGATTCAGAACTGAAGAACATGCAGGACATGGTGGAGGATTACCGGAACAAGTAAGGGACCCTGTCTGGGCCATTCTTAATTCTTGCTCCAAAAGAGTTCCAGAAAGTGATAAGCTAAGATCATGAAGCAGTATGTAGCTATGTCTTTTCTTAGGTTAGAGGCACATCAATTTGGCATTTTCAGAAATCTTCATTTTCTCAGGAGATGGAAATAGTTTAGTGGTTTTATTGCTCAGTAGAAAGGAGTGGCCAATATGTCCCAGGTTCATAATAGAAAGGCAGTGATAGGCAATGCCACCTTTAGTCTAGAATGCTGGACTTCAGGTCTTACCCCCTCTGAATCTCCTAATTATTTCTGCTTTCCTGCAGGTATGAGGATGAAATCAACAAGCGGACAAATGCAGAGAATGAATTTGTGACCATCAAGAAGGTGAGCAAATTCTGTACAATGGAACTCACATTTGAAATAAATAATGGAAGAGAGTCTCCAATTACTAAGCAGAAAGCAGCCATGATATGGAGAGCCAGGGAGTAGACCTGAGGAGTATCTGGAGTGGGGCTGTATTTTCACATCATCATGGACCTAGACTGATCCAGACACTTGGCTTCTCCGTGTTTCTCAGCACCTTACATAGTAGGTGGAGAGGCAGGTTCTCAGCAAGCCAGGCGCACTCCCTTGATGGTGGTGCTATCTGGGGGTGGGGCAGTCAGGGAACTGTGATCTACCTGGGGTAAAAAGGAGTGGAGTAGACCCAAAGCTCCTTTTTTGCTTGGAGAATCCCCTTACAGGTAATGAGAGGGAGCTGCCCTGGAGAGAATGTGCCTTCATGATGCCCTTTGTTCCTCTAGGATGTGGATAGTGCTTATATGACCAAGGTGGACCTTCAGGCCAAACTTGACAACTTGCAGCAGGAAATTGATTTCCTTACAGCACTCTACCAAGCAGTAAGTCTTCCAGTTTCAACCAAGTTTTTCTAAATGGAGAGTTTTTAAGTCTGACTCCACCACGATTCAGAAGAATAGATATTTATCTTTTATCTTCTGACTGCTTTCTCTGTCTAAGTTGTTTTTTGTTTCAGTGTTGTAAGAGTCACTAACCTATTATGTCTTGCAGGAGTTGTCTCAGATGCAGACTCAAATCAGTGAAACTAATGTCATCCTCTCTATGGACAACAACCGCAGTCTCGACCTGGACAGCATCATTGCTGAGGTCAAGGCCCAGTATGAGGAGATTGCCCAGAAGAGCAAAGCTGAGGCTGAGTCCTTGTACCAGAGCAAGGTGAGTGGGCTGAAGGCCTAGCCAGTTTCCCTGAAATGGCTTGTCTTGCTATCCTGTGTTATCTCATGTATGTGTGTCTGCGTCATGCTGAGTTCTGCCCACATTTAACAAATGCTATCTACCATCTTTAGTATGAAGAGCTGCAGATCACTGCTGGCAGACATGGTGATAGTGTGAAAAATTCAAAGATAGAAATTTCCGAGCTGAATCGTGTGATCCAGAGACTTAGATCTGAAATCGACAATGTCAAGAAGCAGGTATGTGCTTCCTCCTTCTAGCACTCAGCTGCATGGAATGGGGGTAACCCTCAGGTAAACGGCAAGTGCTTTCTTAGTTTTGAATCTTGAAATTCATACCGAGGCTACATTATTATCCCTGGTTCCTTTTGTGACTATACTAGTTTCCAGAATGCAGCCATCATGCTGGGTTCTCTTTAAGGAAATCTGTGAGAATGGCCTAATAGAGAAAGATGGAATGGTCAATGTGAGCGATCTAGCCTATGACCCAAAGTGGACTTAAGAGTTGGGGAGTGACAGGAAGCACAGCCAGGAGGTTTTAGAGTAGGTGTTTAGAAGAATGTCAAGTCTGTAAGGATTGTAGGAGCCTTATTCAGGGCCAAGAGAGGCTGTTGAGTTACCCCTAAGGTCTTTTAAGGAAGTCAACATGGTGATGCATTATCCCGTGTGATATGACTTAAGGCCAAGTGGTTCTGTTGGACTCATTATTGGCCTCACTGGAGTGGGGAGACCTGGGATGAGGAGGCCACAGGGGGAATGCATGTTATGAGAGGATGTCACATTCTTTTTCAGATCGCCAACTTGCAGCAGTCCATCAGTGATGCAGAGCAGCGTGGCGAGAGTGCCCTCAAGGATGCCAAGAACAAGCTGAACGACCTGGAGGATGCCCTGCAGCAGGCCAAGGAAGACCTGGCCCGCCTGCTGCGCGACTACCAGGAGCTGATGAACACCAAGCTGGCCCTGGATCTGGAGATTGCCACCTACAGGACCCTCCTGGAGGGAGAGGAAAGCAGGTGAGGAAGGGATGCTGGGAGTCGAACCTCTTCTCATGGTCTTCCTTCCTTGCAAGCTGACTGTTGTTGAAGACGCAACCATCTGACTGCAGCTTGTCCTGGGTATGGGGAAATGAAAAGTACACGGAGCAGGGGGAAAGACCTAGTTTTACTTTGGGAGCTGGAGTTCCAAGCTGTTTATTTTTTTTCTTCTAGGGCTGTAACATATCTAGAAAGAGCTTTGAGGTGGAGCAAATTATTCTATATCTGGGCTGCCTCAGATGGCAGCTGGCCTAAAGTCAGCACCTGTAGAGGGGGCCTTCATTGGCTGCAAGGCTCTTGTCTCATTTATATGAGAATTTCTCCCTGTTTGGCCCTTGCTGAGAAAAATGACAGGTTTGGGAGGCCTGAGGGAACTGGGTTAAGTTTCAGATCAAGTGCACTGGAGCAGCCCCAGACAGGGAGAGTCTTCAAGGTGGCGGAGCGGGGGGAATGGGGAAGGGGTTTGTGAAGCTGGAGTGTCCTGAGGAATTTTCTTCTTTTCTCCTACAGGATGTCTGGAGAATGTGCCCCGAACGTGAGCGTGTGTAAGTCCAAGCGGATTTCTTAGGGGCATGTGCAAGCTTTGTTGGGTTGGAAAGGGAGTTGAAGTTGAAAATAACTGAGCTTCCTCTTGCAGCTGTGAGCACAAGCCACACCACCATCAGTGGAGGTGGCGGCCGAGGAGGTGGCGGCGGGGGCTACGGCTCCGGAGGTGGCAGCTATGGTTCTGGAGGTGGCGGCGGCGGCGGCGGCCGTGGCAGCTATGGCTCCGGAGGTGGCAGCTACGGCTCCGGAGGCGGCGGCGGCGGCCATGGCAGCTACGGCTCCGGAAGCAGCAGTGGGGGCTACAGAGGCGGCTCTGGAGGAGGCGGCGGCGGCAGCTCGGGCGGCCGGGGCTCTGGCGGCGGGAGCTCCGGAGGCTCCATAGGCGGCCGGGGATCCAGCTCTGGGGGTGTCAAGTCCTCTGGTGGCAGTTCCAGCGTGAAGTTTGTTTCTACCACTTACTCCGGAGTAACCAGATAAAGAGATACCCTCTGTTTCGTTAGCTCTAGTTCTCCCCAGCATCACTAACAAATATGCTTGGCAAGACCAAGGTCAATTTGTCCCAGCCTTACTGGAGAAAAGAGCTATGGTTAGTTACACTAGCTCATCCTATTCCCCCAGCTCTTTCTTTTCTGCTGTCTCCCAATGAAGTTTTCAGATCAGTGGCAGTCTCAGTCCCCTGGCTATGACCCTGCTTTGTGCTTTCCCTGAGAAACAGTTCAGCAGTGACCACCACCCATGTGACATTTCAAAGCACCTTCTTAAGCCAGCCAGAGTAGGACCAGTTAGATCCAGGGTGTGGACAGCTCCTTAGCATCTTATCTCTGTGCTGTTTTGGTTTTGTACATAAGGTGTTAGCAAGTTGTTTTTCTTTTGTGGAGAGGTCTTAAACTCCCCGTTTCCTTGTTTTGCTGCAATAAACTGCATTTGAAATTCTCCATGTGTCTCAATCTCCCTTGTTTACGGCACTCTTTAACCTGGATGGGTGTTTTGTGAGGTAAAAGAAGATACTAGAGCCACATGGCATATGGGAGAGTCATGCACACAAACATGAGAAAAATGCAGAGGTCAACCAGGCAACATTTCACCAGATTAGAATCACAGAGAGAGAGCAAGCACTTTCCCAGACGGTGGGGACGTCATGGAGAAATGGAGAGACTGGGTGGCAGATTTTATTCATTTGAGAAGGCTTTCTTGAAAAGGGCAGTGAGCAAGCAGGTTGGGAGGGAGAGGTGTGGCATTGAGAAGAAGGGAGAGTATGGCACGAAAAAGTAATTCTTCACGTGGAACAGCCAGTAAGGAGGGGCATTAGTAATATAGGGTCAGCAGTTACTGCAGCCAGAATACAGACTTTGGCTTGGGGAGTTCAAGAACTACGAGTGGTAATAGAGAGTTAGATTTTTCCATTTCCCTTCTCTTTTTGTGCCATCATTCAAAGCTCTGCCTAATCTAAGAAGTTCCCTTGTTGACACATATCTCATACTTGTAAAGTAGTACAAGAGAATAGCATAGTGGCCAGAAGCATGGACAGTTGAACTCAGATATGCTTGGGTTTGAATCTTACCGTCGCCATTTACTAGTTCTGTAATACAGTGCAAGTTACAGACATCTCCGCACCTCAGTTTTAGTATCTCTAAATTGGGGATGATAATGCCTTCCTTGTGGGAATAGTGTGAGGATTGAATAAGATGAATACACATAGCTGAGCACATAGTAAGCACTCAATAAGTGCCAGTTTCAATGATAATAGTGATGATGATGATGATGATGATGATGATGTAACATTGCTTGTTGGACTCCATACAGCTCAGTAGATGCTTGCTCAAAGAAACAAGTTACCATCAATTTTGTAATGATTCTATGACATGAAAAAAGCAGTCAACTTCTCTGAGGATCAATTTCCTTAGCCTCCAATTAGGAAAAGCCTTCTTAGCTCCAGAGTCCCAAAGGGCTAATGGAATAAGGAGAGAATAGATCACACAAGTATTATGCGAACACAACTCAGGTGAGCTCTATTCTTCCTTCTCAGTTATCCCTTCTGTAGGGACCTCAGTGTCCCCTGCTGTCTTTCTATGTCCTGACCGGGAAACACAGAGTGCCTTGGCTACTCCATCATTTGGCCAGCTGCATGCTTTCCTCTGCACACTTGAAGCAAAGCTGGGTCTCGGACATTCTCAGGCACTGACAAAGCTGTTTAGTTGTTGCTAGGAAACACTGGGAAAGAGCCCTTTTGTTGAACACATAGAAACTAGCTTTCGCCCTGAGCCAAATTTCTTAAACTCTTCTATAAAATTCCATAATCTGACTCCTTAACTGCAGGCATACCCAGCTAGAACATTCCTCATCTCCCTGTCCACTGTGAGAATGCTGCACTTCACTCTGAACGTTTGGTCCCCCTTTTAAATACTGCACACTGATCACCCTGGCGTTTAGTGCTTTGTTTTTTTGGAATCCCACCTGGCTCCATTTTGGGATGGTTTGGGGCACTTCCTCATGGAAATTCACCTGCTCTCACTGTCAAAGTGAGTCCAGCAGTGGGTTTGGCTGGATGAAACACCTTCACCACGTCCATTTCCGTTCGGACTGATGTGAGAATTTGAAAAGCACTATGGTGGAGTAGAAAGAACAAGGAACTGTACTATTTAAAGGGCAGGTAAAGAAAAGGCATCTATAGCTTATAGGATGTGTGGATCTTTGGATGTGATTTGGCCATCCTGAGCCTAAGTTGTCTTGAGGGGAAATGGAGATGAGAATATTTGCCTCTAGACATCAAGAGGAAAAGAAATATAATGTGAAAACATTTGTGAATTGTGAATATGTTATATAAAGAAGTAGCTGAAAGAATTAAAAGGGAGTGACAAAAAAGTAAAAGGCAGCTGGCTGCTCAGGGCCTCCATGGGGGGATGTATCTTGATGTGGTCACTGTGGCTCAGTGACAGCTCTGCAGGGACAGGAAATTGATTTGTTAGTGCACCCAAAGTTGAATCTGCTCCTGAGTACTGATTTATGGGAACCAAACACACAAGAGATGATGGTTGTGTCAATCAGAAAGTCCATGCATTAGCTTGTGGGGAAACACATACTTTCAATGACTGAAATACCATCCTGTTATCAAGAGATCTGGGAAACTAAAGTAGTCACAAGTGCTGGCTTGATCTGTGGATTTAGAACAATGAAAGTTAAGTGGCCTTGAGGGAGATGATTCACTCTCCTCCACAGAAGAGCTGACCTCTGGGGTCAACAGATATAACACCTCTCTCCCAGGGACGCTACTGAATGAACACTGACGTGTTCTTACACTTTGGCTCACATTTTCTAGATTTTTTCTTAAGTTACAACTTTGTTTAGTCACATTTCAGTACTGGGAATACTCCTGTTTATCCTGTTTGGACTCGAGTTTTTATGGTAAGGTCATGAAACAGAGAAAAATACAATTTGCAGGCAAACTTACCAAGGCTTGTAAGGTTACAAGGATTAAATGAAAACCCTGTGTAAGTCAGTATATATTGAAGAAGTAAACTGAGTTAGACCAAACGCCAAAATGCACCCATATCAGAAAGACGATAAAGGAAGACTCTGGATTCAGTTCTGTTCAAACATTTTCTGCACAAATACTGTGTATGAGGAACTGGGCATTGGGGAGACAATCATGAGTGAGACGTGGTTCTTGCTTTCAGAGAGCCTAGAGACCTGGGTGGTAGCAATGGTAGAGATACATACAAGACACAGAAATAGATATGCAGGAGTATAGATGACGGAAAGTGATGCTTGGCAGGGCTTTAAAGAATGAATCAGAGTTTTTCAGGCAGACCAGGATATTCAAGGTAGAGGGAATCATATAGATAAGGACATGGAAGAGTGAAATTTCATGAAGTAGTTGAGCATCTGAAGAAGCATGGAATTAGTGACAGAAATGATGTGGAAAAGATATCCAGATCCAATCAAGAAGGGCCTTGTAGGCATCCTGTGGAGTCTGGACTTTGAATTCTGGGTCAGAGGTTCTCAGATGGGGTTTTCATACCTATTGACTTATTAGACCTACTATGTACGGGTCCATTGGAAGGGAATGGGGTTGTCTTACTGCTAGTGGAGTAGGAATTGAGTATGGACCACAGCTTGTCTTGTTTCCAAGTATCCCCTAAGAAATCTGGTCTGCTGATGGGAGATCTATTTATCGAAGTGTCTTTTTCCCTCAGGAATTTTATGTCTGAAACAGCTGTCATAGGTGAGGAGGAACTGGTAAAAGGACTTAATAAGAGAGTGTCATGGTTAGATTGGTGTTTTGGAAAAATCAGCCAGGGCAGATCGGAGAGGTCCATATTGGAGGCAGGAAGACTTAGGAGACTATTGCAAAGGAGAAGACAAAAGACGATAGGGACTTGCACTTTAATTCCAGGCGTTAGAGGTAGTAGAAGGTCAGAAATGACAATATGCATTACAGGGATAGTTAGCTGTCATATCATTAGGACTTGGTGACAGATTGGACGAGGATGCGGTGGGGTGAGGCAAGAGGAGAGTCCACATTCCTGGTCTGGGTAGTAACAAAGAATCCAGCAAGAGGGCTTGTGGGGAAAGATGCTGAGTTACGTAGCAAGTGCATCTGCTCTATCCATGTAATGAATGGGGCCAAAGGTGTAAACTGAAGAATTATCAGCATTTGGAGGGTAGAATAAATCATCAGATAACTCAGGAAGAAGGAGCAGAAGGAGAACTACTGATACTCTCTGGAAGGAAAACCAGAAGTAAATGGGAGAAACTTGCTCAAATGGACAAAGTTTAACAGACATGAAGCTGGTCAGAATTCCTCAGGGGCCATCCACCAAAGCTACTGAGATCCCCAGATCTAGTGATACTTCCCCAAACCTTAGACTGTACTCTTTCATCCCTAGGTAGTCTAGTGTGTGTTTGATGCTTGGTGCTTATCCTGGTAACAATACTCAGCAGGAGGGCAATCTACAAGGGCAAACGTGGGGTTAAAGTTCTCCTGTTCCCTGCCATGAGTTCCCTTTCTCTGTGGCAACCACTCCCCTCACTTTCTTGGGTGTCCTTCAAAAGGTATCTATGAACATGCAAGCAAAAATGTACATATATGTTAATTCTCTTTTTCCAGATATCTTGCTACTCTGGGCTTCCCACCACAGCCAACTTGATCATCTTCACCCGGATGGGATTTGAATTGCATATTCTTCAGCAGATAGGCCTTTTGGAGTCTGACTGTGGCTTCTGTCCATACATTACAACCTATGACTCAATTCCTGGATTTTTCTTTTCCTTTCTTCTTTTTTTCTTTTTTGAGACAAAGTCTCGCTCTTGTCACCTAGGCTGGAGTGCAATGGCGCGATCTCAGCTCACTGCAACCTCCGCCTCTTGGGTTCAAGTGATTCTCCTGCCTCAGCCTCCCAAGTAGCTAGGATCACAGGCACCTGCCACCATGCCTGGCTAATTTTTGTATTTTTAGTAGAGGCAGGGTTTCGCCATATTGGTGAGGCTAGTCACAAACTCCTGACCTCAGGTGATCCACCCACCTCGTCCTCTCAAAGTGCTGGGATTACAGGGGTGAGCCCCCAGACCTGACCAGTTCCTGCATTTTGGCATTACTTTAGGATATCTGCAGGCATCTCTTCTCCCTGGGTCTAGATCCATGTGCCTCCCCCATAGCAGAACAGTTAGAAGGACAGAATCTCACCTTCAGCTGGTTGGTCAGTGGAGTCATGGGGCTCCCTCTGGGCCATGCTTCTTTGTTGAATGGCCCCAACATTGTAGCCATCAATTCAGTGGCTAGGCTTCCTTCCATAACTGATCAAAGTTGTTTTTTTTTTTTTTTTTTTTCCATAACTGTGTGGCTCTTACACAGCCACATCTCTAACAGAGCTTGGGGATTCATCTAATTCTAGAGAAAACAGACTTCCCACCTTTTCTCATTCCCACACACTAACTG